GTGGGTTCTGTAAAATGAGCTGGAGTATATTATACTCAGTACAATACGGTACATGTTTTTAAAGCCAAAAATCATGAGTAAACTTAGCAGCAACTAATTAACTCACAAAAAACTCACACAGAGTCAAGAACACTAAAAAAAACAGTCTGTGCTGTTTGATTATAAAGAAGGGATCATTACTCTGATTTAACTGGTTATAAAACGATACTCGTCCTTTTCTTAAGTTGTTGCAAGTGTTCTTTTCATTTGAGGAAAAGTTATATTAAGTATATTACTGATCTGAATGAGTTCTTCTTTGATTACACTTCAAAAGACTTGGCATAAACTAATCAAGAAGGAATTTAATGACAAAAAAAATGTATGACCTCCAATGATAAAATAAACAACACTCATAGATTTGAAAGGACACACGTTTTAGTTTTCTTATAGTTTATTGTAAGGTTCCCTTGAGTCAGTTGTCTTTATATTCTAAAAGGATGAGAATTCAAACATGCAGTATTTAAGGACAATGGTTAACTCTTAGATAACACCATTTTTCAACAGTTTTTTTAACTTGTAACACTTCTGATGGCTTCATGTCTTCAGGTATTTCAGTACTGGACCTCTGGTATAGTTCACTTTGGCTTAATGTTCTACTGACTGTTACACCTAAATAGAAATGAGTCATCATTGAAGTTGTAAGCTATACCTGTTCCTTGTGTATTTCACTTTTCTAACACACTCAGGAGTCCCTTTAATGGGATTTTAGGGCGAAGGGTGTTTCTGCTTGAGCACACAAAGGGGCTGTGTGGATTAGTTCTGTCTCTTACGGAAGTCATCCAATTCCTTTTCCCGGAATGAGAGAAACAGAATTTCTTGAGAAACACGATTTCCCTGGATTTCTCACTCTCTCATGTATAAAAATGGAGATGACTTTTCAGAGATATGAAACGTGCCTAATGCTCGGACAGTGCATTTTGAAGAGAAGAGAACGTGAGGCTCTTATTTTGACACAACTTCAAAAACTTCTCCACACTTCCTCAGTGTTTCAGATGACAAAAACTTCTCTTTAAAGAAGAATATCTTACCTTATTACGGTGTAGCATGCTCTTCCTTTTTTTTTAAGATTGATTTTTGAGCTTTGTGTGCTTTTATTGTAGAGACAGGACAGTGGACAGAGTTGGAAACTGACGAGAGAGAGAGTAGAGAGTGACATGTGGGAAAATTAACCACAGATTTGAAGCATGGCCTCCCACTTTAAAAGACTACAGCCGCTGTACATGGTGCACGCAACCCTAAGCACTACTAAAGGAGAAATAATACTCCACTGTATCTCTGCCAAGAGGTTTAAAATGTAAGTCAGCAAACTGACACCAGGGGGAACCATTCAGCCACCTAATGAACATTAATAACCTCAGTATAGATAAAATGTTTCTTTATATTATTAATGTATAGCAGACTATTCACAATGATCATAAAGGGACACACTTGCCTGTCATTATATGCTATAGTGCTTTGATGTTATCCCTTTATAGACCACATGAGGAAGCTGTAGTGAAGGCAAGGTGATGTTAAAGAAGTGCAGTGTTACTTTAATTCATTATATTAGCATTCATTTAAAAAATGGCCGTTTATAAGCTAATGAATGTTTCTTTGTTTAGCTGACTAAATCTCCTGTATAATTGAAAGCTAATGTTTATTGATTTAGTAGTCATACTGTACTAGTCTCTCCTCTCTTAACCAGCAGGCCTATTGTCAATAACAAATACTGCAACTGCTACAACACTTCTAAATAGTATTTAGCACACGTTCAGCAACAAATGCCACTGCTAACTACCAGATCTACTGCTTCTATAACAACTGTAATTACAGCAATACTTCAGCCACCTCCATACTACTACTGCTCTACTACAGACTTCCACTTCAAATCAAATGCTGTTTCTTGAAGTGTGAATGGGAATGCGACAGCCACACAATCCACCTGTTGAATTTCATGGAGTAGGATGCTTAAACAAGACTGCAAAAACTTTATTCAATGTATCATCACTTAATGTGACTGTTGGTAATACAAATTCACAGACTCCTCCAGAAAAAAATGTTGTTCACTACTAAAGTCTACAGAAAAGATCAAGTGACATGACTACTGTTGAACCGACATTCAGCAGAGGTCCAAAAGTTGATTATAACTTATAATGATAATACTGATGACTTAATGTTGTGCTAACAGGTTATAGTTAATAGAATAGTCAGTAAAAGGAAGAATAATGACCTCAATGTTGACATGTTTCAAAAATGTGAATTCAAATAAAATGTAATATTGATGCTATAAAGACATTTCAATTTTATAAGAAGAGTCAGAGAAGAAAAATACGCATTAAGATAGCAGACACAGCATGGTATAAGAAAAACTTTATAGTACACTTTTTTAAGTCCAGCCTGTGCAGGGAGATTAAGCAATATCAATAAAAGTCATTGAGTCCAGGATATATTTGTGAACTTCAGCTGTGATTACATTTTTTTTATGTTTGTCCATTCTGCAGGGGTCTGTAAGGCTTCAAGTGACCAAAATCATAGATACAATCACTCACTGATGCCCTGGAGATGTAGTGAACATTGAAATGAACTCATAGTTCTTAATCTTGTTGTATGAAGTATCAAGACTGTACTAAATCACAGGAGCCGAGTACAGTACTGTGCTTTCACTTTGAATGCTCTACAAAATGTTGCTAAAATTATAAAATACTTCACTTGGGTTTTTTTTTGACTGAAGAATTATTTATTTTTACAAGATATTTTGTTTATTTGAAAACCTAAAAGTTTAATAGACAAGTAAAGGATATGAATACTATTTTGTCACTTGACAGTTGATAGTTTTCTCTTTTACTACGCTCATAACAGAAAACATAGAAGAAACTTGTTGTTTTTTCTTCAAATTTACCCTAAAAACATGGCATATGGATGGTGCCCTTTTTTTATTGATATTACAAAAAAAGTGAGTAGGCTATACATTTCCAGTATCCTACAAACGTAACTCACACTATTTGAGACAGCAGTGTATGTTGGAGACAGAGAGATGAAATAGAGTTGGAAGTTGATATGAGTTGAACAGTGCAGCACTCTGCTGCATGAACTGTAGCTGAAAAAAACTGTATTATTGAGTTCTCGACTGTGTTGTTAGGTTCTTGTGTTCCCTGTGTTCTGATGATGGGTTCTTGTGATGTTTGGGTTGAATATATTTATTTTACCGTATGGGTTCTTTAGATGTTCTGGTTATTTTGTTGTTATTTATGTTGTTTTGTGTTCGGGGTTATTTTGCCTTGTTTTTTGGAAGGTGCTATAAATAAATGTATTATTATTATTATTATTATTATTATTATTATTAATAATAATATTGATATACTGTATATGAAATTTACTATACAGCGTATAACTTCCTAATTTTCTGGTGATTTTTTATTTATTTTTTTTACCTTTACTTCATCAGGTAATAAAACCAATGCGATCAAGATCTCTTTCACAATGGTGACCGGGCAGCAGCAGCACACGTCCTAATAAACATTACATGATTGAGAAACAGTTCACAAACAACAAGTTAAGAGCAGACAACAATTAAAATGTGCAAATTGGTTATCAGATGAAGTGCAGAAGTTGTGATCACAGATTGGTCTCACGTATTTTTGTCTTTTAAGATGGAGGTAAAGGCTTCAAAGTGAAATAAGATCTGCCAGATTCCTGTCATGATGAGGTATAGGGTGGGGGGTGGGGGGGGCCACCAAATCATAATCTTGTATAGGTGCCAAGCTGGCCCTGGCTGTCCAAAAATTAAATCAACCTCAGAAGAAGAATGGCAACAAAAAGGAGCAAACGTCAACAGTCTTTATTATGTGATGTCAGTTACTGCAACAAAACTATAGAATCAAATTCATATATTGGACATTATGGACACACGCTAATAACTTCCAATGAACAGATATATTTGTGCGGCTGCACTGGGTCAGACAACTAGATATTAAGCACCTCCATTAGAGTGTTGGAGCTGTCTGCATGAATTATTCACATATCCACATTTAAACTGCTCGTACAATTAACTGCCAAATATCTCAATGCGCTTACCTTAGAATAAAGTCGGGTATTTATATTCATTGACAATTCATTTTCATTTGCAATATTTGCCATTAGTTACTCACTGGGTACTCCTTGATATGAAACAATACTTTTAAAAAGTTAAGAATGGGTCTTAAAATGAACTATTGTAAGCATGTTGCTGTTTGCCCTCTGCTGGTATGACACTACAGTCACCTTTTAAGACCAATTCAATTATTTCTATACCATATAATTAAATAATTTTGAGCATCATAATGTATCACATTTTCTTCAGAAGGGCCATATTTCTGCAGATTTCAGCTTTCAAGGGTTTATCTAACTTTTAATGTGTTGTCTTTACACACAGTGTCCACCAGAGATGACAGGTTTATTTCTTCACAGTGCGGCTCATAACATATATCTTTGTCCTTAAAGTAATACATTTATTTTTCTCTTTTATGTCATACGCTTGGTATTTATTCATTTTGAAAAAATATATATATTTTGGACATTTTTATACCCTTTAATGTAGATTTTTGAAACTCTATTGATATAGAAATAGTTTTATCCAGTATTAGTCAGGGTTCATTTATTACAAAAGTCATAACAATTTGCATTCTTCACACTAAGTTCGCGGCATGTACAATTAAATCATTATTATAACTATTTATTATTGTAGTTATGTGTCACCAAAGCCAATCTAATAATGAGAAAGCTGCAGAATGTACATTGATGTTATGATGACTCTTTACAGCCTCCACTGTTAACACTTTGTGACGGTCATGCTTTTGTCTCCTCGGGGATTCAACCTGGTTGCAGCTCGGGGAATGGAGAGGCCCCTTGTAACCTAATCGATCGCCGAGCAGAGAGGCAGACTGGGTCCACACTATGTGATCGGTTTCTCTGTGTCAGACTTCCCAGAATAGCAACTCGGCCGTTTTTTTTTCTGCTGCTCTGCTGTGGACTGTGGAGGAGATGGAGGAGGAAGTCAGTACAGTGGTGGATTTAACAACTGTTGCTTTTCCTGCTGTTGCTGCTGCTGCTGCGGAACAAAACTAGCTCTCTGTCGGCGCTGCATGGCGCATGTCGGGCTAGAATGAAGTCTATTCCATGCCGAGACATTCAGTCTGGATCAATGTGCAAGTTCATGGGATTACATAAACTCCTACGTGTTTAAGGTAATTAAAAAAAGAGAGCGAGAGAAACACATGTGCATGAATCGGTTTCCTGAATCAACTAACCATTCTGTCGCTGCTTCAGCGCAACCATTCAATATTATTCGACATTTATAGAATTGAGACGCTTCAGAGCGGCTGGAGGCGCATGTCTGCGGCAAAGGCAGACAAGGAGCGTCTGTCTGATGAATGGAGAGCCAGACGGGCTCTGCTGTATAGACTGCGGTGATCGGGTAACCTGTTGAATCGAAGCTGTCAGTCAGCTCAATGCCAACACACAGCCGGCAAAAAAAAATCACTTAACACGAGAAACGCAGCGCATTGTCACAGTAACAACAGAACAAGCGTGTTTAGGTGATGACAAGCCTAATAACTGTGATGTTTTGTTGTCTGACAGGTGAATTTAATTCTGGGTTCACTGTTGTCATCCAAGTGGAGTTCTCGCATCTGTTATGCTTGTGACATTATTTTTAAATTCGGTTACCTAAAGTCATTTTGCACACGTACAAGGAAGTCGTATCAAAAGTAAATCCAGGAAGGGGTCACATTATTTAAATGTTGGAATAATTCATTGTTCTCATGTTGTCTTGGAAGTAGGGTGGTCCCATGCAGCAGCAGTTGAACGGTACTCGGTATTATTCCCAGCTGTCGTGAATAAAAACGCGCGAGGCTCTTGCCCACCAAACCCCGAGTCTCCTCTCCACAAGCAGCGTGTCAACATTTCCTGCCCACGGGTTTACAGTCACTTGCTTGTTGAAAATAGCTTGGCTGCTCCCAGTCGCTATGGCTAATTCCTTAGGAACCGGTGGATCCAGTTTGATCCATCCCTCTCTCTTTCTTTCCATTACCAACTTGTTGAGTCTTCTCCCCCCCTCAGTGTTCCTACTGTAAAGGTGCGTCGTGTTCGCTTTCAGCTAAAACCTTGTGGGACTTTTGAAGAAATGTCTCAAGTTTGAAGCAAGTGCAGCTGCTCGGGACGGTTGGGACGGTATCGGCGTCGTTTTTTGAGAGGGAGGAAAACTCGACGGGACGCGCGCAGAAGAGGTTTTGACGCAAACCAGCAGTCACCTGTAGGACACTATAGATGCGCACCTACATAACTTCCCTCTGCTTTTCAGAGCTTGCTCAAAGAAATTGCAAGTTTCTATTTAGGACTAAAATTTAAAAATACTGTAAAAAGTTGTGTTTTATTTCTGTGGGATACAATTGGACAAACTAGTCCAGTTAATTTAGACTTTTTCGTTTCCTTAAAGGGAGGTGGAGACAACTTAGCACCCCCTACCTCAGTCCTTGACTGAAATCACCGACCCAATTTTGCACAGGGGAGACGCTTTAAGGTAATAAGTATGAGTCTTTTTTTCTATTATTTTTTTCACATTATATCTCGTTTTCCTCTCATGTTTCACTTTAAATTTGTAGTTAATAAAGTATAGCTACCAGTATCAAACAGAAATAGTAAACTGTGAAGTGGCGGAAGCTTCAGAGGGAGTTGAAATCAAGAAGTCACTGACTTCACAAAATCTTTTTGACATAGTATAGGAGGAGAAAACTGAATAAATGATTCCAATTGGCTGTACGATTCAATTCAAATTCACATTTCCACACTGACACTTTTGAGTTGTAGTTTTGATTTCGTATGACAGTTGTCTTCTGTGATCTGACTCAGTATTTAAATGAACATTTCTTATTGAAATGATCTCTTAATTACAGGAATCATAATGAAAAGTACACTTTAACTTATGCATTGATTTGATCATTAATGGGGGGAGGGAGGAAAAAAAGGATAGTTTGCATTTCTTAAAAATTAGAAGTAGTATACCACTTCTTTACAACTTGCTTACTAACACCGTGATCTTCAATGTGGTCAAGTGTTAAGGAACGCACAGTGTTTAAAACAGAGACATGAGTAGAAGTTATATGCTGAATTTTCAGATTTGTATATAGGCTACCACATCTTTTTGAAATTCATTTTGAAGTCTTATAGCTCTTTGTCTCTGCAGTGAATACGCACATATATTTTTGTCATTTTCCTGCAACAGGAATAGTTTAGCCTGAACAACCAGCAGTGTGATGAAAGTCAAACGCACTACATGTATAAACTGTGCATATTCTAATATTACTCTGTTTAAGTCAGGAGATGTAGAGAGAACATGAAACTAAAAGTCAACCGTTCAGCCTTTTAAAATAGTTTGTGGGGTTGTTTGCTAAATATATCTGACTACTTCTCTAATATGTAATCAGCACAGAGCAGAGCACATTTAGCTGCCTCACAATCTCTATTATTATTATTATTATTGTTCAAACCAACTATTTGTGTGCAGGGTCATGCTGTTTGTAAAAACTCTATTCAAGGTTAGTTTTGAATTGTTACCGTATATTTGTACTTTTTAATTATTATGACAGAGGTAAGGTCGCAGTCTTTCAGAAGTAGCAACAAAAAAAGTGAGAAACGGACCGGAGGTGAACGTAGAAGAAAATGCTACAAAACAGAAATGTAAAAGTCGCTGACATATCTGTTTTTGTTCCCTGCAGATCTCCCAAAGCACTTGAAATGGAGGCTCCTGATGGCCACCGAGCTAGTAAGTGATTTACACACTGCATACAGTGCACACTGACCCCTGCTTTTTAATAGGTTTTAATCTGCATCGTAACATTTGTCTGTGCTTGGTCGTACTGATGAAGGTGATAGCGATGGTTGATGGTTGCAGGGAAGTCTTTTGAAGTGATTGTGTCTTGGATGCTGTTACCCTTATTCTGATTTTTACGTCTTTCAACTTTTTGATACAATGCCGTTCAAAAAAAAAAGATAAACTTTAGTTTTGCAAACGCAACACAATTATCATTTAAAGGGATTTTCCCCAAGTGCAGCTTTTCTTTCTCTTCACATCCTGTTGAACGCAACAGACGCAGGAGATACATTTTGTGGTCCTCAAGTGCCCTTTGCTTGTTTCCTCTGGGCAGGATTCCCCCCCACCCCCCCTGTTGTCTCTTGCTTTGTTATGAAGATCTGAAAACAGGTAGCATGTTGATTGGTGACATCATCGGACATTTCAGGTCTCCATTGGGGGTTCTTGCCTAAAAGGAACACTTGGGAGGCGGGGGTAGGGGCGGTGGTGGAAGAAGCAATGGAGGCTCTTCATGTGTTGGTCCATCTGTGGGTCGCAATCTGAGGTGATACTTGCTTCCGTTAGCATGAAACATCGGAAAATGATTGCAGAAACAATCATCTTTCCTGAATACAGCAGGTCGAATCGTCACTGCTCTAATATATGTCATCATGTTCATCATATACTGACAAGGCTTTGCTTACTATGAGAGACAAGTAAACAAACGTCATAACTGTTTTAACCGACAGCCAAGCTTTAGAACAGACGTAAACCAACAACTATACTCTCCAACGCTACTAAATCCTAGCGTCTTCACTAACATGCAAACATACCTTAAATTCAAAATCATAAAATGTACAATTACACACCCTTATGTGCACAATCCTTATTTCCTAGAAGCCCCTCTAGCCAATTTGAAATAGAGAGAAAAGTTCAAGCTTGTACAATGAAAACTTCTTACAGTGGTTCCTAGTTTGTCGTGTCTTCTATCTATTGTGCTATTTTTTTGTATCATTGGATGAATTCAATTTTCAATGGGTAGCCAGTGATATTTTTATTAATTTCACTGAGTTCTGTAGCCGTAACATGCAGGCAGGAAAAACTGAAAGGAAACCAAACCAAGTGTTATTTTAGCTTCTTACAGCTAGATTGAAACGTCTTTCCTATTATTATCATGCAGCTCAAAGTCAAAGTTCTGTGACAATAACTTCAAACATAGAGCACGCATCTGTTCACTTTAGAGGTACATTTTGCACTTTAATGTAACATTATCCAAAATTAGTTATAAAACATATTAAGACATACTGTAGGTGCTAAGTTTCATAGAAACTACATAAATGTTATTCCTTTATGTTGTTGTTAAATGTGAAAAGTTGTCTTGCTACAGGTGGATGATACTGTAGTTGTTTTTTTGCTGGTGTATGTGTGTTATTTCGACAATGCACTTGGAGATGGCGGGTTTGGCAGGTTTCTTGTTTGACCTTGACCACTTGCTTTAAGTCAAATCTGGCATCACAAGTTACCTGTTAGAGAGTTACCTGGAGAAAGTTAACAGAATGAGCTAAAGTTAATTCAGTTTATTGAAGGCTTTTCTGCCACATACAAACACATATACACCAACTGTGTGTTACAAGGCTAAACCGACTCACTATGGACTTTTTTTTTTTTTCGTAGTAAAAATATAGATCCAATAGAAAATTTTCTTTTAAGGTTATATACCATAATATTACTTTAGATCTAATTTGGTAAGGTGACATATATTTTCTACTAGCACCAGGGGCTCACACAAACAAGCACATCTTGTACGTTTCCTGTAAGTTTTTTGATGAAAAATGTTTGAAGTGATCCTGCTCGAGGCGACCGATTTTGGCAATTTTGCTGGTGTGTGTCTTAATGTGACGTTAATGTGCATGGATGATATGGGGTTTCTTTGTTTGAAGTTGACCTCTTGGTTTGAGTCAAATATGGTAACACTGTTGTTAAGTCCAGTTCATGAGCAGAAAAAATAGTTCATGGGTCCAGAGGATGTTAAACGAATGAACTGATGTTAAAGGTTTAGCTTACACACACGTACACACACATATGACCAACTGTGGACCTGAACATGCCATGAGCAAAACTTATTTTCTTGACATTAAAATAAAAATTTAAATTCAATTTTAAGATTTTTAGGCAAAATATAACCTAAAATATGGATTTTAATTGTAATTAGCAAGAGGGGACTCAAAGGCTTGAGCAAGTCACACGTACGTACACACACACACACACACACACACACACACACACGCGTCTTTTTGCTAGCTGTACTGTCCTTACGCTGGCTGTTTGGGTCACATAAACATACAGTTTGATAGTGGCCACAGTTGTGCACGGCAGGGTGTAAATGTATGCATGTGTGTGTATGTTCCACGCACAGCGGAAAATACATGAATTCCAACAGTTGTGTGGGAGAATAATGATGAGTCTCATTCATGGAGATGTTGTGTGTTTGTGACTCACAGTAGTAGTGTGAGACATAAAGACTGATGGGTATACCATTGTATATGATTGATGATATTTCTGGTTTCGATTCCTGATTGTCTTTTATCTTTGTTTATAGCTTACACATGAAGAAAAAGTCATGTAACCTTTTTGAAAGCCCAGAGCGACTTTTGTTAATGATCCGACAAAATGCAGTGTGCATAAAAGATCTGTATCAGGATTTGAAAAAATCCTCTTGAATTGACTTACTGTCCTTTTGATATCAACACGCATCACACATCACATTATTGTTGTTCCCACAGGGGCTTGTCATAGCCATGGCACAGGATGTAACACTCGTGAAACACATCACTTTTCTGAAAAAAAGACGTCATTATACTTTATCACATATACTATTTTTTTCTCACGTATTTCATTCCACTCTATAATGTTTTCTCTTTTACATACACAGTCATGCCTTCTGATATGCTCATGGTCTCATAGATACACACAATTCTTGGAGACATTTGACATTTTCAATCTCTGTTCTAAACGCAATTGTTGTTTTATTATTCCTTACTTTGTATTGGTGGCAAGTATCAAAATCTACCAAACATTTAAAATAATCTCACCTCTCCTTTCTATACCATAATGGTGTGCAAATGTCGGGCTTTTGAACAAACTTTTTAATTGGGCTAATTGGAGTTCCAGTGGTATTTTGCACAGGTTTTTACCTTATGGACCTCATGAGCTTGGCTGTCTCACGGTTCTGACATTTTCAAATACAGTTTCCCTAATAGGAAAGACTGTAAATACACATGGTTTTCCAGAAGCAGGTTCACAATTTTAGCACGTAAGAATAACGTTTCGGTATGTTAAAAAAGACGGCAACTGGTTTGCAAAAAGTGATGACACTTCAAACACTTAACTTCACTAAACAACTATTAGTCTACAAAGTTCCCATCATTAAATCAATCCCACTTTCCAAAATGTAGATGTCATCTACCTGGTCAATCAATAAACTGATCAATTTTTGTTTTACACATTGCAACATCACAAAAAAAGTTATCTTATTACGTTTTCAGATAAAGGACTACATAAACTGGTTGTTGGTTGTACATGCTCCATTATAACTTTACTGGAAGCTAATTATGTTCATGACAATAGCATGATGTGGTCAGACTGTTTTTCTAAAAATAAATGCTATGTTGGTATCTTTAAACAGAGTATAGGACACAGCCCCCTCTAGATCGATGTCTAGTTGTGCTAGTCAAGTGACTTAAAAAAAGGCGAACACAGAGTCTGTGTTATCTGACTGAAAAGGTTAGACAAATTAAAATGAATTGCCTGCTTGAGTTATTCTTATACCAGACAAAATACTGCTATTGTAGCCAGTTTCAGAACCACTGGTCTTTCAACATAAAAAAAAGACATGTCTCATTCCTTCAAATTGCATCACCTAACAATTTCTCCATTTGCTTATTTATCCAAATTCTTATTTCATCACATGGAGTTGATTGGTGAAGAGGGCTGTTTCTTTCATCTGAGACCAAACGTAAAAAAAAGACAACATCCATGATTGTTACACATCATAAAGATTCAGTGATTTGCTTTAAAATGCATCACTAGTGCTTCCAATACAAACACTTGTTGTGAATGGATGTTTTGGCATTGTTCTTTCAGTGTAGGATTGTGTTTGCTTGGTCAGTGGTGTGTGTCTTTGCATGCGTATGTCTTAGTGATATGAATCTGTCTCTCTGGAAGGTTCAGGGTTTGACAGGAAAAACCAGCTTCCATACAGAGTGTATCCAGCAAGCCAGAAAGGAGGTTCGTCACTCAGGAAAAGAATCTCATTCAGTTCCTCCCACGCCACAAGGTGCTGCTGTGATATTTTCTGTGTTTCTTCTGTGTATTTCATCCATCACAAGGAGGCAGTTGGAGCTCGACCCTGGTTTAATTTAGATGTATTATCATTAAACACTGTTCCAGGACCTGAATACCATTTATAATTACTTGAGCTATCTTTTGAACAACTTGTAAGACAAGAAATTGTAATGACCCTTATTACATTCCTGAGAGGATGACTGTACTTTCGAAACTGAGTGATTATGTGGCGTCACTGATGAAGTCAGCATTTACTACACCTACAAAGTTTCATGCGCAGACATTTGTTCCTTTCCATTTGCCAGCACATAAAAATGATCCCATTTTGAGGTATAACTCAAAATAGCTTTCCCCCTCATGAGCCTTGACTGTTCAATGTCTGGATATTACTGTTCATACAAGACTGACTCAGCAAATGCGGGACACCAACGCAAAGTAGTCTGGGCAAAGCTAGCATGTTGGGTTTAATACTGAGTATCTCAGGTCCCCGTTTGAGTGTGTAAAAGCAGCCTCTTCATTAGCTGTGCAGGTTTATTTGACGATCATCAGCAACAGAGATGCATAACAGAAATGTGTGTTCTTTCTTTGATGGCCAGGGATTATCTAATGACCAGGGCAGTATGATAACTGCCTTTTTTACATGATGTGATCCTGAATCAGCACACATTTATTACTTTTTTTAACCTTCTTCTTTTAGTATTTAATCCCAGACAGCCCAAAACGATCAGTTTGTGATTCATACAGCTTAGCCTTGGTGCTGCTAGGCAGCTGTCAGCATCTGCTAGAGTAATGGAAAATCCTTCATGACAAATCTGGGCCACTCCTGTCTCCAGGACAGCAATGCCAAGGGATAGCCAGCGTTGGTTACCTGAGATTTCCTCCAACCCCAGCCGCTGCAACCCGAGCCCAGGCCCAGGGATTGTGTCATGGACAGCGTCTCCCAGTATGCTTCACTCAGTGGGGCCGCCACTACAATGGAACAATACCACTGAAGAGGTTGTCAAACTAAGAGGAGCTGTCACAGCAAAAGGAGATCTGACACAGATTTCTCTTTCATGTATGAGGGGTCATTACAGACATATTCAGCTCAAACAAATTATTACATGGCCTGCCTTGTAGCTGTTTCAGGTGTTGCATGTTGTCCATCCCATTTGATTTTAACAGAAACTTCCTTGGCTACAACTATCGCTTCATCCGATTCAAAAGCATGAGGCTGTCCAATCAAATAATAGCTAATTCTTTCCATTGCCATTAGCTAAAGGCTAACCTTTAATTGTGCTGCTGCTGAATGATGGCTCTCTGTGGTTCCTGAGGGATCTGACACCTGGGTCAGCAGGGGTGTTTGCCTGTTGCCACTGTATTGTTCCAGTGACCCTGACAGGGCTAGGGTGTAAGGGGATAAGGGATTGGTTTACTCTCCCTCTGAGTGGACACAGGGCTATCCATAGCAATGTTTCTGTACAGAATGCTGAGAGGATGCAATCGGATCCACATTTGCTGGACATAAGGATCCCATATACAGTGGGTGAATGGAGGCTGTTTAGTTAGTTGCTGACTGGATTCCATGTGACCATTTATGTCACACATAAGGGGACATTTGAATGTATCATTATTGAGGAGGCTACTGTTTGACTTGTGATTTGTTTTGCTGCAAAGAGCATTGTATTCACCACTATTCACATAGAATAAAAGAAAATAGATCATCAATATTTCTCCGGTCAGATATGGAGTGTGTTATATATTTCCTTTTTAATTGTGTTTTTGTGCTGGTACACGTAGAAGGACTTCAGCATTGCATCGAATTCAATGTCACACCATAATATCTTGTTCAGCACAATGCCGACTGTTCTGTTTCTGTTTGTCTCCCAGGTAACGGCCAATGTTCTCCTGGTAAGGAGAACTCAAGAATGTCGGGAGAAATGTCAACACCTAATGGACAGACACTTCCTCAGGGTCCTAACTCCCCGAGTGGTGAGTGCTCAATCCATACATACAGATATCCTCAGACTGATAGCTATTGTATTACTACCCACGGTTTCTCCTTTAAACAAAATGTATCTCACTAGATCCGTTTTAAATTGACCTAAAATGCAACACTTTCATAATAACTGACCTCAGAGGAAATAATGGTGACTTTTCCTCCCCCCAAAAAAGCTGAAGGGCTTTCATTGTTGGATATATTTTATGTAAAGATTGGGTTAGTTGCTAAACCAGCTTCCTGCCATCTATGAGAAATGCTTTGTGAGACTGGGGGGCAAGGGGCTAAGCACTTTACATGAAAGCACTTTCAAATGCAGTCCAAATATCAAACAAGCAATGAGTTTACAAAGAATTGATTTCCCGAAAAGGTAATGGAGGATGATGTGAGTAACAGAAGGTTCCATTATGCATGCAAAATATGAGAAAAATATCTAATGTTTGATAACGTTTGATATTTCAATCACCATATGAAGTTTGATAAATACATAAAAAATCCAGTACCCAAAGTCATTCACAAATAATTTCACCACTAAATATTCTGAGGTAGCTAATAGTCTAATAATAATAAGCTAATTTCTAAAAGCTCCTGTGATGATGTCATATCAGGAATATGGAAAAGACCTTTACACTGATGCCAATTTATGACCTACCAAGACAATCAGAAGACATTTCATACAGCAAAGATCTTGATCAAGGTCGCTTGCAGTGGTTAGTTTGCACGCTTCATGTACAGAGGCTACAGTCCACAAAGCAGTCAGTGGATTCAGATCCAACCTATGGATACTTTGTGGCATGTCATTCCCCACTCTCTTTTCAACTTTATCCACTGTCCTGTCTCTTAATAAAGGCACAAATACCCTAAAAATAAATATTAAAAATAAGATCTTGATCAGAGAAACACTGAACTGTTTATTTAACATTTATCTCAGGCTTTTGTATGCCTTTATTTTAGAGACAGGACAGTGGATAGAGTCAGAAACTGAGGAGAGATAGAGCAGGGAAATTACATGCGGGATAGGAGACTGGTCAGATTCAAACCTAGGCCATCCTCCTCAAGGACTATAGCCTCCGCACATGCATTAGGCGAGCACACCAACCACTTGGCCACTGGCATCCTTACTTTTTACTGTGGACCGCTTTGTCCACAGGCGGCGCCAACATTGTCACAGAAAGAAAGCTCCTTACTGGAGCTTTAACGTTCATTTGACTGAATCAAAATGTAATTTCAACCAGGGCTCCTTAAATGTGTGAATGCTGAGTAAGAAAGTATTGATTGTTCACATTAAAAAACACATTTATTGGGATGAATTTCGACTTTTACTTTGAATACGGTGGTGAAAATGCCATTAAATGTGCCGCCACGAGTTGCCCTTTGGACAGATTTTGTACATAAAGGCCATATTGCAACTCTTTCTCAGAAGTGTTGCGTGGTTCCTCCTCTCAGCCCTTTTAACCTGATGCCTCAGATTATCTTAAGCAATGTCACTGTGAAGTGGCAAAGTGAGAGAAGGGGGAACTAAGACAGACGAGGGAGAAAAAGAGAAGCCCGTCTCCCACAGGTTTTGAGAGACAGGTTGGCAGGCGGGGTGAGGGTGTTCACAGGGAGATACTCTTCACCGATAAGAGCTGTTGTCATTCTGGAAGTTACCCAACATGGGTTTGCTATTTGAGTGTTGGTTACAAAAGAAGGGCTGCACCACATCATCTGAATGAAACGCCCAGGCCTAAACACAAACTGTACAGCAGTTGTCTTGGTAATGTGCACTGTGTCTTGTGATAAAAGGTAGAGGAGTAGAATTACATCCTTCGGGCATAAAGTGACAGTCTTGGTAGCGATTGTGACAGAATATTTTCTTTATAATGGATTGGTGCTGTTGGTCAACCTCTTCATCAAACGGGATCTTTCACCCTAATGTTAAATTGGTTATAAAAACAGATTGCAGACTAAACTGCGGTGAATCCAGACGAGGTGAATATAACAAAACTGCATCTTGAGAGACAGATGTAAAGATGCTGGAGCTGAATAGCAAGGACGTTCAGGTCTGCTCTGTGTTGCCAGGATACAGCTGACGAAGACAAAGCTCAACTGCATTGTGGGTATTGGGATAAGTGCTTCTTCTCTACAAATTGTGGCATTGGAAACATACTGTACTGCATCTGTCTAAAGAATCTGGTAGGTTGGAAATGATACCTGAATTTCTAAATTTCTTTTACAAGCCTGTGAGTGTTAAGTGCAAGCAGTTCCAAAGGCCTGAGGGGACGCTTGATGGATGCATTCACATGGGAGGCTTTGGTCAAACAATCTCATATGCTCACTCTGTGATTATTACCACTTAATTCCCTAAACTGGATTGTCAGTAAGGGTAGCCTGGAAGGTGTTCAGACTTTTTTCCCCAAGATATCTAAATCCCCTTTTACATCAATTTTAACCCATTAACAAGCCCAAGAGTTGTAAGTGTAAGCAGTCCCACATGCAGGATTATAACCCTGAGTGATTCTTGCAAAATCCGGTTCTGCTCAAGTGGAGGAAGTTACTCCAAGGTGAAGAATCACAGGTTGGTCTTCAAAGGGTTGTATAAAAAAAATAAAACAAAATTCAAGCAAGATAGGCAGTGTATCCCCATGAAAGTCTGCTAATGCAGTTAATAATGGTGCATACAATGGAAACACTAGTTTGTCATAATGTTTTCTGCTAAATCACAACCTGCATTGTGTTAATGGTTAAATCAAGTTGTAGTATTTGTGTAAAAATGGCGGAAAATAGTGCGACTACCTAAACCGTTTGGCTGAATTGTCTGAAACAAGGTTGAACATTTGAGAATTATGTTGACTATTGTGGAACAGATGACTCCAGCTGACTGTTGGTCTGTTGCATATGTATTTCTATCCTCTTGATTTATATGTGTGTGCTAGTTGTGTGATACTAGATGATAATTAGAGTGTCTTATTGCTGCTGACTGTCAGCTAGAGACTGCAGGTGGGGAATACTTTCCTGCCACTACCACACACACACACACACACACACACACACACACACACAAACGCCCACGCACACAAACAATTATACAATCCCTCACCCTTGTCATCCAGCCGGTCTCCCATTGCCTGTCATGTGTTCTAAGCTACAGGGCCTCTGACACTCCCTTTCTCCCCAGGGACAGCCAGGAACCAGACCAGCCTGTTTCTCTTTCTCTCCCTCTCTCTCTCATGCGTCAGTCCATCCCAATGCAGTCTCCGAGTTACTGGGAGTTAATAGCATGCCCCCCTCTACTAGAGTTGTTCTGATATCAATACTATTATTAAGTTTGCCTCTGACACAGCCTGAAATCATTTAGGACTATCAGCTAATATGATAGCATATGCACCAATACAATACTGTAATATATTAGCCTTGCAAAAAAATAAGTTGTTACACCGGAAAACCAATTATCTCTATCGCTGCAAATCACTAGACAGAGTGTAAAAACGAATTTCCCCTTGTGGGATCAATAAAGTATACATTATTATTATTATTAAATAGTTACCTACACAACAAGTTTGCTACCATGGATGTTTGATGGCTGCCACTTGACACTACAGATTTAGAAGAGGGAAGAGTTTATGCCAGTGAATTTATCACTTGAAAATTAGCAAACAATGACAGTTTAATGGGTAGAACTAATATTGTCAGAATAGAAAGCATTATAGTCCCTCAATTTTTGAAACAGTAGTATTTTTAATAATTTGAATATAGTGGAATTGATCCAGGACTCAGTATCACCACAATGTTTAAAGGTATCAGAAAAACAAAATGGTATGGGAACTCTACCCTCACATGCCCCTTAATGAAACATAATTTTGCACAGCTTTCCCCTAACCCTAACCTATTAGTATTGCATATAAACTCATTTGACCTCCTGCCAACAGAGTTTATCGTCTTCTAACAAAGTTGATCTCAGGTCTTTACAACTCATTTCTACTATTCAGGCTTTCAGACCTCCAACCCTAACCTTTCATCCATTTTATCAAAACCTGAATCACTGGTAGTCCCAGGTTATTTAAATATAATCCATTCATAGTTGCTGTAATGGTTCTTCTTCTAACATAAGTTTCCCTTGAAAACCACCATACTTAGAATTTGACATTCTAAACTGTGCATCTAATGGTTGCTGTTGTTTGTGTTTTACAGAAGTGACAATTAAGCAAGAGGAAGACACAGCGGAGGAGGCTGACAACAGAAGCCCAGCACTTGAAGAAATAGGCCAAACAGGGGAGGAAGGAGACACATTGGAGGAGTCCATGACTGACAGCCCGAACAATCTACAGGATGGATTATCTGAATCAAATGTGTCAGCGGATTCAGGAAGTCGACAACCAAACGGTACTGATGGGTATTATTCCAGATGCCATTAAAAGCATGTTAAGCTTTAAGAAACGATCGGGTATAACTATTTCATTTCTTTTTCACGGACACCCTTTGGGCTTTCATAATCTACACAGGATATTTTGTTTATTTCGTATTCAATCAGGGAGGTATGTTATGTTTGTTGTTTTTTCCCATCTTAAGAGTGATTCAGAGATCATTTGTTTTCCTCGAGAGTGGGTGTGGAGTTCTTTCAGGGTTTATTCTTGTTTGCTTTTTTTTTTTGTCCAAGACAATAGCTCAGACCTGGAATTATTATCAGGGAAAAAATATCTTTGGAATCCCCCGCAACCTGTTCCAACTGACGCCATGAGTGCGCTGGCTGTCACAGCGTTAGGATCATATTTCTCTTTTCCAACTGGCTTAAGATCAAAAGATTTACCTTTAGAAGAGAAGACAGCAGTTATTAAAGCCTTTACAATCAGGTGTGTGTTCTGAACTGTCTGGGTTCAGATAATGTAAAATCCATCAGTTACTTTGTGCAAGAAGATGGACACACGTACCGGTGCTTAATTATGGGAACATGTGTAAGATACAGTTTAGGAACTACTTTATTGGACAGTGTATATCCTTAGTTCTCTATGTGTTATAAAATAACTCAGCAGTATACAAACTAGGGATGTGCACCATTACTTGACTAAACATTTAAACCCTAGCCAATTTGCACCAGGATTAATAGCCACTGAAACTATTTATTCATATTTTTGTTAATGTAGGCCCACAAGACTAGTTGAATGTTGTGTCTAAGCTGTAACATAGCCACATGGTAACATAGTAACATCGTAACATAACATGGCTGCAGCTCAGGTTAATGTGCCTGCAGCTCTGTCCACTCTACAACCTGTCTATAAACTAGCACTGTGGACAATTGGCATCTTGTTGCAGCAGCTCAGGTAAACTGGCATAGAACCACTGAACTAGCAATGAATAACCACATTCAAAACAGGCATGTGGACGTCAACCTCCAAGGAGGATGGACGGCTGGTGGTGATGGCGTATAGCCTATGTGAGCAAAACAATTTGACATTATTTGGCAGAGCAATGCAAGTTGCAAAGTGCCACACATTTTAAGATTGTGATGAACTGTTTCAAATGGCAATTAAATAGGCTACATGCAATGTGGTTTGGGCAGTGTTTAGCCATGTTTAACTGGGTTATAATTTGGCTGATTTCTTGGTATTTTCTCACCTTTAGAATGTAGACTGGTCTGAATTTAAATTCATGTTTGATGACCAGCAAAATTACTCGCTAGGAACATCTTTACAAACTATGTCTTTGAAATTACGCAAACATGGGGAAATCTTTCGAGTTCAACTTGGAGAGTAATAGTTTGAGTCAGGCCAGCATCTCAATGCACACTGTGCCAAGGGGGGATCAACATGTGTGTGCTTTTACTACAAATAGGGCTGCTGTCTAAAATACGAAAAATATTACTGAGGTAATTATCATCCAGCCTTTCCCAAAGATGAGTTTTACCTGGGTATCACAACCATATAAATTTACAGTCAATCGGTCCATATTTATTTATTTTCAGAGTATTTTGGAGTATATTTACTCAGTTGAATTTAAAACAGTTTACTCAAAGTTACACTAGATTTCAATTAAGTTTGATACAAAGCCATTGATTTTAGTTAACTATTTAAAGAAAAAGTTGATGTCGTCATAAGTCATGTTAGGACTATATACAGTTTTATTTCTATGATATAAAGGTATATGAAGGTATCTGTTCTTAGTCCTTCTTGCACATGGGGAGACAAACTGTGTTGACAGTGACAGAAACATAAATATGGTCTTGAGGGTTGTTGATGCTTTCTAAAAACATCTTCCACCATGAGTGTGGTATTGACTTCCTGTGTCTGCCTCTATCAGGTGACAGGCCGTTCCAGTGCAACCAGTGTGGTGTCTCGTTCACCCAAAAGGGAAACCTGCTGCGACATATCAAGCTGCACACAGGCGAAAAACCCTTCAAATGCCCTTTTTGCAGCTATGCCTGCCGGCGGCGCGATGCTCTAACTGGTCATCTGCGCACTCATGCTGGTAAGACTCTACATCAACCTTCTTACTTCCTTTTTTTACTCATGCTCTCATGCATCTCAATCATTTTTTTAAATGCCTGATTAGGTTATACTCATAGTCAACCCCAGAATTAAATATAGTTTTACATTTAAAGCTCCTGTTCTGAGTTTTTAGCTGGTTGTGAAACAAACTGAAATGAATACTGATGCCTCTATATGACCTACAAAAGCAAACAAGAACTTCAGGAAGAAGTTCCATGATTTCTATATTGTTATTTTAATACCTAAAGCCACTGCCAGGGGGTAGGTTTTTAGATCAAGTGATTAGCAACACATGGAAGAAACAGATGTATTTTATTTTTTACTTTTCTATGGCAAAGATCTCAATGAGTGATACATTTCACTGTTACTAGAAAGAAGGATGGTATTTATTGTCAGCAAACACTACTTAACATATATAAGATGTACTGCTTTATCCTAAGGGGGGGTCCAAAATCAACTCTGCAGCTTAAAGAAATATCCCTGTTTCATTTTTTCTTTCTGCTTGTGTGTTTGTCTTACATGGTCAAACCCCTTCCACTTCACTCCGTGTCAGTTCTCGATCATGCTTGTCGGCCTCTAACACAAGGAAGGAGCCTTGAATTACGTTTTCTTTGCAAAATAAGATGTGATCTTAAAATAAAAATGTACCCTCAGAAAGACAAACTCACACATATCACCATTTTATGAAAAGCTTGAGCCAGGTTTATGAAAAAAATTGAAAACGACAATCTACAGGGTTTTTTTTAGGTATCTTTAATATTTGAGCTGAACACAGTTTTTGGGAACTAGTTAACTACAGCAGCCACAGTAGCCATGTGACCTGTATGCCCACTCCTCTGGCTGTTGAAACCACATACTACATACTCCTATTGAACGTAGTGTGCTGTATGTCAGGGGTCATCAAATACATTTGAACAAGGACCAGCTTTTTTCTTGAGAGGCACTGTCTAAATGACTAAAACATATTACATTCTCAATTGTGTTGGAGTTGCTTCAATAGATAGGAGTAAAAAGATGCCCTATACACAGTAACTTGTTTTTTCCTCCTTACATTTTTCTGAATTTAATTATATTCTGGGGGTCGGGCGGAAAGCTTCGGAGGGGCAGATTTGGCCACCAGTTTTTTGGTCACTGCTGTATGCACTGCATACTACGTTGGACAGTAGTATGAAGTATGACTGCCAGTTGGTGGCTTTTTTGCAGTAAACCAGGACGCAGAAGTGCAGAAGTAAACAACACCCCTAGCTGATGGCAAACACCACGACAGTGACACATCCACTTACGGTCTAAAATAGGTGAAAAGTGATTCATTTTGATTTGCATGTTTTTGAGAATGAAAAAGAGAATTAATGGTATCTTTGTGTGGTTTGGTCGGATTGGGATTAGCTCCCCGGTTATGATTACCGTTGCTGTCGGTCAATTCAGACTCTGACCTGTGCTTTGCATTGTGGGAAACAGTATGCAGTGATGACTGGTCTGATGCAAACTGTGAATTTTGTCCGAATTAGTACGACACCTGGATATTTTTGGCATACTGCATACTGCATGTACAAATGCGTACATACCACTAGTATAGTAGGCAGTTTCAAGAACAGCCTCTGTCTCATATTCTTTCTTGATAGAAACATTGATAAAGCACTGCGAGTGCTTTGTGGTTTAGTACCAAGGACAAGCTGTTCCATAGTTGCTACTGTCGCTAAGGAGGAAACTATCTGTCTGTTGAGAGACACATGGGGAGAGCTGGCTGTCTCTCTCAACTGTAACCCACTTTCCTATCAGAGTGCTCTCCTCTCGTGTGCGCTTTGAATCAAGGTCAGACAATACTGTCATTTCTGCCTTAAATACCCCCACAAGGGTTACTCATACACTATTCTCTTTTTTAGATAGAGGTAAAGTGTGCTTTTTGGAATCCGCCTGCCTGTCTGTAATCTCGGTTTCACTTTTTTACGTTGTTATTTCTTTATTGTATTTGTTTTTCACTCTACTTTCTCGTGAAATTATTTTATATGCAGGAAATCAGTACTCTGTGTTTTCAGGGGCTCTGAAACTAGTGTGGTGCTCTTTGAGGAAAACAGGTGTAACCAAAAGGTGGTTAATAACCATTAAAGAAAGAGGCCAGGAGAGGGGGGAAATATAAAACAAGCCAGGTAAATAGAAAGGTGAGGTAAATGTTGAATGTCAAATGTTTAAAGATGATATTATCTGATTGATTATAGAGGAAAAATAATGCAGTAAAGGCAACATGTGAGAGGCCAAGGATTTCATATTCTTTCATGAAAAACTGTTAAATTGAACAGGTTCCTTTTTTTTACTAGCCAAATGCGACCATTCAAGTGAATCTTAGCGCTGAGTGTTGATCATTTGCATGTATATGAATAGAAGCTGAAAGGTGGATTCATCGGGTCTATCCAACATCTGCACAAGGCTGTGTGTGGGCGGTTTTATAAATATGAGAAAAGTAATGAAGTCTGTGTAGTGAGTGTGGGTGAGAAAGTGTGTAGATGTGAGTTATTAAGAACAAGAGAGTGCGTATTGATTGACTAATGCCAAATGCTCTGTTTCCAGTGTATCTGGAAATCTGGAATTAAGTCATCTTTCTAAGCAAATTAATATCACCGCCTTGACCCTGCAGATACACTCACACATGCTTTGATTTACTGAAACCACTTTTTGGTCTGTATACTAGGAAACAAATGATAATGAAGCTCAGTTTTGTGTTCTGCTGATAGAATGTCATTTAGAGACCACAGCAACACTGAATGACGGATACAGCAGCAAACGTATTACCATTGTTCTGTGCACATGATTTACTGTAAACAAGTTCCTATCTATGCAAAGTGACCATGCAAACAAGTCAAACATACTGTCACTGCAATGTAACACTACAGCAAATGGAATATTCACTTGTGTTTCAGAAGAACACATAAGAGGTTTGGAAATCTACAACAACAAAATCGTTTTCTGGTGAAGAAAAAGTACTTCAGATCAGTGTGAACTGTAACCTATGAGCGTGTGTGCATGTGTGCATGGATGTGTGTAACAGCCTCTGTGCATCAGACTGAAACGTGTTTGGTTTCTCTGTTCTCACAGTGTTGATCACAGGATCATCTGCACACATCTTCCTCACCTAAAAGCTGTCACCGTTATAGCCATGAATGTCTTACTACATCACTCTGCTAATGCTGTTGTCTGGGTCACATAGGTGGGCTTATGCGGCCTCCAGTTTACTCGCCGAGTCCCTTTATGAGTCATTACATTAGTTTTTTCATAATACTCTGTCAGACCTATTTCCCCACCATGGCCTTGCTGAGTAGTGTTTTCACTTTAAATAATGCGGTATGTTTCAATTACATTTCAAGGCATTTTTAAATCAGCTCATTTAGGTTCATTGTTCAAAAGTAGTGACACAAGAGAGCTTAGCAAATAGTAGATTTTATCTTAAGTTAATGAAACTTGCTCAGTTTTTTGGGGGAAATTTGATGTTTATTTAGTTTAACCCATTCATCTGGAGATTAACTGCTCCTGCAAACTACAGTATACTGTATGGGTGGAAATAATAGAGGAGCTAATGTCTTCATTTTTCCACTGGTTGGGGTAGGAAGGAATGAAATGGAGAACAAATGGCACAATGAATCACAGTACACCTCCACAACAGTTAAACATCCTAGTTGGTTTCCTTCCACCACCTCCATGTAACACTAGTAGTGGAAGAAGCCATGATATCAGAGGCTGGTTTTGTTTCTACTTCTTACTCTTCACAGGATTTACTACTACTACACACTGTGGCAGGTTTCATTATCGCATTTGAGGCTAGAGGCAGCAAAACTTTCATTTTTTTGCAAGTCAACAATCATGTGATGATAGTCTAGTTGATGTTGACTAGTAGCTTATGAAAGTTATCAATAAAACCAAAACCAAAGGGATCCAGCCAAAACATTTATTTGCAAAATGCAATGCTTATGCTGCTGAAAGCAGACAGTTAGCATAGAAAGAAACAGCAGGTTGCAACAGCTGCAATAACGTATGCAACAAAACATGTGGGCTACAACCCCCATGTAAGTGAATGCAAAGAAAAAAAAGTCACACAAAGGAAAGAAAAGAACTCAGGGAAACAAAGCACTTTTTCATACTCACCGTCATAGTACTGCTCAGTCAGTCTTTTAGATTGTCGATTGCGAAAACCAACATCTGGCATAAAGCATCATCACACAGCTTTCAAGTCGACTAGTCGACAAGTCTGTGCAACCCCTATGAGACACTACCCACTCTTTCTGTCTGTACAGCAGTGAATGAAATGAATATGCTCTAATGTAATGTATTTTAATTTTTAGTTGGCAAACCACACAAGTGCAACTACTGTGGCCGGAGCTACAAACAACGCACTTCTCTGGAGGAACATAAAGAGCGCTGCCATAGTTACCTGCAGGGCATCAGTTTGGATCCGACGGCCAACACTGGCCTTTACACAGGTGAATAGTTCAACTGAAACCAGGAAAATTAAGATGGACTCTGGTGTAATTGTAAAAGTTATACAGAAATCCATGAAAAAAAGTAACATGTGTTATTATTAATGGTATACATTTTTGGGGTAAAAAAACACTGCATAGGAGTGGTGGGAGAACATTAGTCTTTAATGTGGGGAGGATGGTTATTAAGACAAAATGCTTACATAAAACAGATTTTTTTCTGTCAATTTATTTTTTTTTACTCTATTTTTTTTATCGTTTTTGCTTTTTCAATCAATGTAGAAAATCTTTGTCCTTCTCTTCTATTCTTTTTTTTATTCATGTTTAATAAAGTTATACCTTTAAAATGTTCTTTAATGAGGCTTTTTTTCGGGATAAATTAGTCAAAGATCAGTGTTTGATATTATTTCAGGAATTTTTACTTTTTAGGTTGGAGAAACGGAGGTTATGGATTAATTTTCAACTTGTTATTTTTTTATATACCAAGTAAAGCAATACAGTATGCTCTATTTATTTTCCAATGTGTGGGAGTTGCTCTTTTCAACAATCTGTCAGTAGCTGCATTCCTGCACTTTCTAAACCCATTGCCTTCTTCTTTCTTTCAGGTGAGGGTCCTAAAGAGCCGAGGCCCATGGCAGAGGCCAACAGCGTTGGTAACTTTGATCGACCGCCTGTTATTGAGAGGCTGCAAAACAATGTGGGCAAAAGAAAGAGCACCACACCTCAGAAATTTGTGGGTGGGTATTTAAATATTTTCAATGTTTTTTTACACTATTTGCATCAGTGTCCACTTGGTACAGCCTGATAAATAGCATTTTTGATCTTTATAGTATTCAAGGCCTCTATTGGGATTGTATGTCTCTGAAGCTGATGTAGTGGTTGATTTTAATCTGTTTGTAGTGTTCTGCAATGATGGACTGGCATGCAAGTCACATTCGTTGTTTTGTGTGTAAAACCTCAAATTGAGTTCAACTCATTCAGTATTGGTGTTGATTTACATGATCAAGGTTAAAGAAATAATAATAATACTTGACACTGGAACGTTTGGAAAGAACCCTTGCTAAGATTGCATTACCTTTTGCTTCTGACTCCACTTTTTTTCTAAATTTGGTTTTATTTGCCACACTATTAGAAAAAAAAAAGATGTTGAACAAGCTAGAGCGAGCGGTTGACTGTAAGCAAGGAAATGTTTTTGACTTTGTGGTTAGGTACACCTGTAACGCTGCCATTGCTCTTATTGAGAGAAAACATCTCACCGCATCCCTGTTCTGGAGGGGTTAAACAGTGCAGTAGTAGATGGATGGGGCTTTCCACCGTATTAGACTCGTGCAAGAAGAACGTAATGTACAAAATATGAAAAACAAGCCCCAAATATCAGCAAAATACCTTTGACAGGCTAGAAAGAGTAATGTGTGAAGTCAAGCCAAGCTCACATCTGTGCTTTTGTTTTTTTCATTTCCAGCAAAAAAGCACGGCAGTTTCCTTCCACCCAGCTGTTGATTGATACTTTTTTGTTCTGTGTCTTTTGAAAACCATTTTATCATGTTAAATCAATCAATTCCATCAATTTATAGTGCTTTTTTTCTGCAGGTGAAAAAATGGTACGCTACAGCTACCCTGAACTAGGCTATGAGATGGGTCTTAAGTACGAGAAGCAAGCTGAACTGATGCCGCCCCATATGATGGACCAAGCCATCAGCAATGCCATGACATATCGGGGATCAGACGCCCATCGGCCCATGCTACACCATCCTCTTTCTATGGCAGATGTGGTGCCCATGGTCAACCCTCTCTTCCATCATATCCTTCCCATCAGTCAACGAACAGAGCGTCCAGGAAACTGTGAAACGCTTCCTCCCCAGCCCCACGACTTCCCCAGCCTTCCTACCACTAATGGCCCAACTGCTTTAACGAGACAGGGTAAGCCAAACCATCCAGGGCAAGACGAATCTCCTAACAACAGTGGACTTGACTCTGCTGACTCAGCTCGCAGCAGCCCTCAAGAAAGGCATGGCTACCATGGGGCACCTCAAGGCATCAGGTCTCGAGCCAGTCCAGCAGTGGTTTATCCAGGTGAGCGGGTGGCGGAAGCATCATCCAGAAGCGGGGCAGGGATTGGGCCTAGGATAATGCGAATGCCTGCAGAGAAGCCTATTGGACAGGAAGGAGTGCGGGTGTTCGGACGCGAAGGCCAGGAGTTGCAAGCCTTCCAATGCGAGCACTGTCGGGTGCTCTTCCTTGATCATGTCATGTACACCATCCACATGGGTTGCCATGGATACAGAGATCCTTTAGAGTGCAACATCTGTGGTCACCGCAGCAAAGACCGCTATGAGTTCTCCTCCCACATAGTCCGAGGTGAACACACCTTCCACTAAGAGGATGGAGTGGATTTCAGGGAAGGGCAAAGAAGAAAAGGGGAAATAGCCTGAGATACATCCTTGTCCCCCAGACGTCTAAAAACTGCACAGTTGAATGGCACTGTTTGAAAAGTGTAGCACAATCATAGCATAGACTACTTTTTAAGCTACTTTGTTGTGAATCTGAATCATATGAAGGTACGGGCCAAAGACACATTTTTTACATATTTAATTAAGAATAATGCAGAAGCAGGAAGGTAAGTTTTGTTTTCCTCTAAAATGTTCTTGAAATGTACACCAGAGCAGCTGTCAGATGACTTTTACTGGTTGTCATTTGAGTCCTCTTCACAAATGTCTACTTTTGTGCTTGTTCTGTCATCATGCTTTCCTACAATGTTTTTTTTTTTTTTAAACTTAAAATGAATTCGTAGATATGAAAATATGTTTATGTTTCTGCCTTGTGGGCCCAATGCATTAGATGACGTTTGACATGTTTTCATTCAATCAGACAGAATGCAATGATTAACACTGATGCCAGTAGTGAAGACTTCAGGTATTCACAAATGTTTTTTTTTCTGTTGAAATTTAACCATTTTGGAATCTTTCATGGAAAAAAAAAAAAAATAACAAACTATGAAACTGACCCAACAACCATGGCACATGATTTAGTATCCGTGTTGGTTGTGTCATTGCTGTGGCTCATAATTTTTGTTTGAACAATGGTGTGAAATCATATGGTCATTTGATACAGTGTTTGAACTGTGATTTGGTTTCCATTCGGACTTGACTTCGCATTGCTGTTGCATTGTTGGGATTGTCAAATTGTGTCTATCTGCAGATTGAAAATGTTCAGTCTTACCATCATATACGAGCTTTAGTTCTGCATTAGTTTTACCTTGTCTAACTGCATAATTTGAAATATTTAGCATACAAACATTAATGAAAAGATTGTGGTAATAAACATAAAAAATAGAAAGGGAAGAAAACTCACTCTGTATCCCCACTAATAGATACATCAAATACAATTTCTGAGACTTAAATTCCTGTAGTCTTTAAATACAAGTAAAGATAACTTAAATGCCACGATCAAAAATAGAGTGACGTTCAATTGCAATTAGCTAATAAATGTGTGATTAACAAAAAGCAAAAACTAGATCACAGTTGGACTGTTTGTAGCTCAATAACATTATGGCTTTAATGACTGTTATTGCCTATTCTCAGAAAATAACAATATTACTTTGCAAAAAAATTGCATTTATATTAATTTCTGTTTGTTGCTGTAGTTTAAGTTGAGGTTAGCCAAAAAGCTAATGCTAACTCAGTGGAAAAGCTTCATAGCTAGCTAATGGCAGACAACTACCTCTTTACGACTAGTTAGTGGCATTTTTCTGATGTGATAGCCTTCATCATTTAACCTTTACGGGTATTTTATTGTAGCTTACAAAATTGTTTATATATATATATATAATGAACATAATGAACATTTTTTATTTTCATTGATGTTTACTTTGCCGGAAAAAAAGACGACCCATAATTCAATGAGGCTTTTTTGCTATTGAATAATAGATGAATTAGTTCAAATCATGTTTAAATTGGATTTTAGTTCAGTTTTTGGAGAAGTAAAAAAACAATATTCTGACAATTGTGTCCACACTAAATATAGTATATCCAATGCAAATGTTGTTTTGTCTATTCAAATTGAATTAAGTACAATCATTAATTATACACTTAGATTGTAAAACCTTTCTTTCTCTGTCAATTGAAACTGCATTTGATGCACAAAATGAAAGTATTTTCTCCAAACACATCAGAATCTATTCACTTTGCACTTACAAGGTAGAACTATTGATCATAAAGAAAAACAACAATGAAAGGAAAACAGGGAAGTACACATAATCCAGTCTAATGGTTTCAGAAAGACCTGCCAACTCTAAAAAAGGTCGGCAACAAATGGCCATTTTTTCTCATCTTTTCATTCTATTATAACCTGCCAAGCTAATGCATTGTCCACAGAAATAACGGTCCATTTCTTTGTTTCTCTTTTGTTCTTATAATATCCCAGTGATTCATGGGGGGTGTTGCTTGCAGTCTGGCTACAAAGATGGCCTAAACTTTGAGTATCAGAGTTTGTCTGAAACTGGCAGCACTAAATGGCAAGGGCTACAGTACAGTAATGTATTAACTATGTGTCTGGAGTATGACATGCTATGGCAAAGGAAACAGAAAAGACAGCTGAAGTTACTGCATGGGTTTCTCTTCTGATGAAACTTAAGCAACTTTATTTTCCAGGATTTGTGTCCATATTGACTTTCTGATTAAGGCGAGATAGATGTGTTTTTTGTATCCATGCATGGCAATGGGTTCCTGTTGGCTCCTCATTATTGGTACTTTTTTCATGCTCAGCAAATTCATTGGCCCTAAATATGCACATATCAGGTCAGTCTAAATCATATTTGTATACCCTGACAAATACACAGAAACATTATAAACTACACATAAAGTGCTTATTTTGGTGCTGCTGAAAAAATGGTTTTCAGCAGGGATTCTTGATATCCATTGTGACCTATTGGCATAGATCATCTTGATGGCCTACTGTAGTAAGGTTCGAACCAGTTTACTTATTGTCTGCTTGTCACCAACACCATCATGCACACAAGCACACAAGCACACACACTCTAATCCGTCATATTTCCTCTCTCTGATCTTGCTTTTGCATTGCCATAATGTCATCTATACATGTATGAACCTAATACAGAGGGGGGGGGGGGGGTCAAGAATGGCACAGTGTGGGGAAGTTTTTCCACAGTACTGCTCTGAAGACACTTCCTTAATCTATAGCATTCCTTCTGAAAACATGCCAAACTCATGTATGCAAAATGTAAATGGGGAGTAGGAGAAAAGACACTTTCCAACTCTGAATCTCTGGTCCAACATTTACAGTAAGTTGAAGGAAAACAGACTTCATTTAAAAGAAGGCTATAGTTGCTGCTTTATGTTTTCTCTCCATTGTCTACCTGTGAAAAGACTCAGAGACTGACTCTGAGAATGTGCATTTTACAGTTGGCCCTGCACTTTATGTGGGTTTTATTTTTTTTATAGCTTTCAGATTGAATTGGAGAAACATTGGGAATCAATATTTAACCATATGAATGCTATTGTTTTCTCTCTTGGAGACATGAAGATTTGACTGTAAGACTTTACTTGTATTTTCTTTCCTATGCTGTAAGCTGTCTGATGAACATGCTTTTTAATGCTAATACTGCTCACAACAAGTTTTGCATTACTTGTGTCTTACTTGCAACATGAACGGTAATTCTCGAAGGTTACTTTTCTTTGTTCAATGTCTCCTTGTGATCAAAAGGCAGCTTCTTCTCTGTTTACATGTCGCTTCATTTAAGCACACCTGCAGCCCAGCATAGCATAAAATCTTACTGTTTGTAAAGTATTGGCATTGGAAGTTGTTTACACCTCACAGCTGTAATATGTACTTTCTACATTCCGCTATAAAGATAGCCCTGTATAAATGATTATTCAAAGCCCTTTATATATGGGTCCTGTAAAAGCCACACATCCTTCTAATTAATGTAATTAAATAGAAGTTATTATGACACAGATTTCATTTCTAATAATCATATTCCAGAACAACACTGTTAAAGACAAAAAAGAAGAATACAATATATTGCAATTGTCAAATTATATGATATGATTCTCAAATTTAAATACTTTTTTTTTTTACTCTTTTTTGTTTCTTCTCCACATTTTATTTGGTAAAACTTTGGGACACAGACTTATATTTTCTTGTACTCACAACTGTGTGACAAGCAGAGCCTTACTTGTTAACAACTTCTTTAAATGACGCAGCCATATGATCAAAACAGAAGTGACACAAAAAGGTCTATTGTCTGCCCTGTCAGGACTTTACTTGAAAATCAAAATGATCACTGTTGTATCACATTACGGGGATTCTTTTTTTACATTTTGAAAATGTCTCTGCTAAATGTCTATTTTTCTGCTGAAATAGTAATGCAAACAGTTTTGTGAACTTTGGTGTGTGTGGTTTTTTTTTTTTGTTTAAGTTTAAAAATGTTTACAGAAAATGTAAAAAAGGCTGGGTCACAGGTGTATTTTTTATGAAATAATATTTGAAAGGTGTATATTTTGGCACTGAATATTGAAATAATCCAGAAATGTGTGCTGGTTGATCAACTCTGATATCGATAAGGACTTTTCTAATGTGAGGGCTCTCAGGTATTTGCATAGCTTGTGTATTTTTATGTCCTAAAGTATGTGATTTATTTATCAATAACAAAAACAAAAAAAGATACACAGTCATTGAACCGTTCATGGCTTAAACCAGTCCAACATTGAATGTGGTGAAGGAAGTTTGCAGATTGTTCAGCTCTGTTTTACACATCAATGACTTTACATGAAGACAAACTGCAGTGAAGAACACAATGTATATTTTTAAGGCATGGGTTTCTCTCATTAAAGAATTGATTTGACTGTCTTGGTTGTTTTTTGAAGTTTGATATTATATATTTCATATGTTACACATTATTTTTAAAAGGTGCACTGTGTAGATTTGGTAGTGAAATTTGAAAGTTGGAGAAGTGAAACAATTCTATGCTATATTTTCTGAACTAAATACACAAAAAAAAATGGGTCCCTGGAACACTGTTTGGAGATAAAAAGCTACCAGGAGAGTTACGGTTTCACTGTCCCCCACCATAACTTCTCACGTAGCATTTTATCTCCAAACAGTTTTTCAGGGACCACATTTTCCTCTGAGGACAGTTTGTGTATCGAGTTATGAACATATACCACAGAATCTGTAATTTTCTCCTACTTGCACATCTCTCTACCAAAACGCCATAGTGCACCTTTAATGGACAAACTTACTAAACTAAGATATTAAGTCCATTCTAACAAAAAATGCCAGAATTTGTGGAAAACATGAAAAGGTTTACAACATGTTTTTGAAGGTAAAAGGACCTGTTTTGGGTGGTGTTACTTTTTTGATACAGTTTAAATGTGAGTTATTAAATGTTATCACTGTGACCATTACAGTATCAACAAAGAGACAAAAAACTGCACTGGTAGAATTTGTCTTCCTTTTTTTGGAGTGGTGAGATAAAATAGCAAAATAGTAACGTGAAGGACAAAACAAGAAGAGAATGAGACAATCGAGGACAAACAGTTTGATTTAAATGTAAGAGAAGAACTCTGAACAAAAAGTGAAGTTTGGCATGTGTGTTTGAATATTTGTGTGCCCACCTGTTTGGATGCCTGTGTTTGTTGGCAACAAGTCATTGTTAGGGGTAGAAAATGTATTCGTATTGGCCCAGTGTCTTGGTAATATACTTGATTTCAGTCTGGATTACTGCCTGCAGAGGATGATTTTTCAATCACCACAGTTTGTCTAGATACTCTGATTTAACTTAACACTAAAACTTATCAACTGCTCCATACAATGTCATCTAAATCAGAATCAGAATCAGAATCTGGTTTTATTGCCAAGTACATTTACACATACAAGGAATTTGACTGGGTGTATTGGTGCTAAACAGTTAACAAGGAAATAAAGCAGAACTAGCAACAACTTAAATAATACAGTATAAGAAGCTTTTACAATATATAAAATAGAATTGAAAAATGTAAGATATAAAATATAAAAAAATAAAATTTAAAAATAAAAACACAAAATGTACAAAAGGTGCAATGTAGGAGCTGTGCAGTGGACTATGAGAAAAAATCACACAGTGTATGTAACCTACTCACAGAGTGCATGTAAAGAAAATACATTTAAAGTCCAGTGGGCGTTAATGTAACGTATAAAGAATATGCAGTTATGAAGTCTATTTTTATAGATTCCCAGTACAAGAACCATGACTTGACTTGTGACAGAATAAAATGAGGACTGTCAAACAATTAAAATGTTACAATTACATTAATTGCATTTAATCTCATTTTTAATTTCATGTTTGAAATTCCATTGTTTAGCATTTCAAAATAAACTGTTTCATGCTTTTATTTAGAACTTTTAGCTTTTATTTTTAACCTTAAGCTAAAGGTACTTTATTTCCTGTTTGGATGCAAACCTGATATTATTTTGAAAGAAACTAAAGAACGTCCAGAAGATTGAAGGTAAACGTAACCAGGGAAAAAGGAACTCATTACAGATCTTAAAGTAAATAAAACCAGCTTAGAGAGATGTTAAAAGTAATTTTTTTCACTTCATAAGGTGGATATGACTTTTGACTTGTCAACATAGTGGTCTGGGAGTTTTTTTAAAAGTAAAATTAGATATTCAAACGCACATCAGGGTCAGGCTTTTCCATCATAGGAAAGACTAGAGGGAGACGCTGCTGTGGCTTATACGGTGTGCTTAAAGGGACAAAAGAAAAAAGGGCAAAAATAGCATGGGATTAATGTGATTAAGAAAAATGAATGCGTACATTTCTGGACTTAATCTCATTGTGATTAA